ACTAGGTACAAAGGTTCTCCGTTCTCCATACAACCAGCCCACCAAACATTGGGGCGAGAACCATAACAAAAGAGCCAAAAGTACTAGTTCGGCTAGACTATACGTAGCTTCCATCCTTGCACGTCTTCCCCTGCTAAGGAAAACAAAAAAAAACTAAAGGAATCAGCTGGAAAGCTCAGTGAGGTTCCGTACACATAGTCAACAAGAGAATCAATGCATTCAATACATTTAACAACAATTCAAGATACAAGTACAAATAAAGCGGTAACCACATTCATGAAAAGGATACGTGCTCACAAGGAGCCATTCGTTCAATCGTTCATTCATTCATTCTCCTTTCTTTCCCCTACCTTCAATCATTTGAAAAATGCATTTTGCATGAGTAAAACCCCTCGTCCATTCATTCACTCATTCATTCATTCATTCTCCCCGTCCCTGGCTTTTGGCCAGGCTCCACCAACCTACAGGGTAATACTCGAGTATACCGAAACGTTCACCCAAGTTCCTTGTCGCCCGACCGAGTCCGCTTCTGGCTCGAGACGACCGGTAACAAGGGGCAATGGCCAGTTCAGCCCGAAGGCTTACATTCATGCACAATTAACATTTCAATCGCTCAATCATTAAAATTTCACAATCATTTAGGCTAAGTGCGGTAAAGTACACACTCGCCTCAAAATCATTTTAGCAATCATTGAAAGCGTTTAGCATGCTATCAATCACTCAAACAAGCCATATAATCAGGAAACAAATCAAACAAGGAACACTCACCTATACACGTAAAATAACGCCCACTTCTCAATCACCAATGAAACCTAAAAGACACAAAGACCACATTACAATCCATCTAACATGATTTAGATGCAATCAAGAAATACTCGACTACTCGCGAGTAAACGAATAAAAGACTTTCAAAGTGTAAGGAAGGCATTTGGATCCGTGGACAAGAACAACCCTAATGCAACCCAAACCAAGAGGGTTATAAAATCTCTAAGAGGGAACACTTAACTCAAAACAATTCAAAATTCCAATAGATAGGCTAAGAAAACATTCTTTCGAAATTGCTCATATGACTCAAAAGCATATATATTCAAGTGGCCAATAAATAACCAATGCCTTGATAAAAATCATGTGAAAAAGGAGGGCAAAATACTTTAACTTCCACACTTAAAACCTTGCTTAGAAACAATGCACTTATGGCCGATAAAACCCGAACTCATACCTCTATAGGTTGGAAAGGCTTAAGGAACCTTTGAAGTTTGAAACGGAAGAGGTATCATGTTTTCAAAAGATAAAACGGTTACCTTATTTGCCAAATGACAATATACAAATTCGAACCGAAACTTAGCCTTCGAACCCTTATTCAAGGACCCGAAGACACTTCCAAGGAAAAACGTTCAATTTGATACAAAATACATTTCCAAAAACCACTTTAACTCATTCAATTTCCAAAAAAATAAATGGACGGAATATCCCTTGTGTTTACCTATTTTCCAGCCAATAATGGCTTCATTATTTTTCTCAAATCAGTCCCAACATGTCATATAGAATAATCTCATGTCCAAAAGCCATTCACTAGGCTTAAAGTCATATAAATACAACAAGAACTACGAAAAACAAGCTAAAAACATTTTCAGATAAAACAATGCGTGACAACATTTTGCGGAAATGGCACTAAAGGCACTACGATTATTGGATTAGGGTGGAAGACCCACCGTTTCGAAGCTAAGAGACAGGGCTACAACAATGTAGAAGGTCACTCAGTCCAGTTCCTAACGCAACTAGGTCAAATATGCAAAATACTATACCAGAATTCCCAAAACAGGTTTGCAAATCACACAAAACTGTAATTACTATAACTCAGTCTATACAAGTCCAAATGCCGAAATTCCAAAGGCATATGTTAGCTAAGACATTCAGCTACATTTCATCAGAAGACACCAACTTCAAAATCCAAACCAATTCCAGTCAAAATAGCCAAATACAAACTCAGTTTTCGCATTCTGGCCAAAGCAGAACAGCTACAGTAATTTCGTCATAACTCACCCTACACTAATCCAAATGTCCTGAAATTTTGCAGGCACCTTAAACACATCAATACCTACAACTTTCATGTTTTGAGGAAAGTCCAATTCGGCCTCTAACCCTATGATCTAAAACCGGACAGAATTTGGGGTTTATGAACCCTAACTTTCCATTTTTCCATCCAAGTCCAAAATTGATTGCATTTAACCACAATTCACACCTACTAGAGTCATTTTAAACCATTACCATTCATTATACAAGGCCACAACATCCCATTCATATTAAACCAGAAAATTCATCATAAAATGGAAAACTTCACCAAAACACTTCCAATCAAGAAATAAATCACATATTCCAACCCTCAAGCCACTTCTAAGCATAATATAACCATCATTAGGTGTAGTAGGGTGTTTAAGCATCACTTACCAAGTAACAAGAGATGTAGAGAGGTTGGCCACCTTAGATCTTCAAACAAACTTCACTAATACACTTGCTATCACTAAAAGGAAAGATTTTATGGAGTAAAACTAATCTAAGCTTTTGTTTGTAGAAGATTGAAGCATATGGAAGCTTGAAAGTTGAAGAATTTCCTTCCTTCTTTGCTCAAGGAGAACCGGCCATGGAGGAGAAGAAAATGGTAATTTTTATGAATTTTTTTGATATTTAATCCTTTGGTCAAAAAAGTCAAGAATGTGAATAGTGTTTCTTAAAGTCCAACCAATGAGAAGGTGACACTTGTCACCTCATTAAATGCATTCTTATCTTTCTTTTCTCTCTCACATAAATCACTTCACACACACTACTTATCTGTTAACACCCGATAAATTTTTCACAGTATCCGAAACTTAACCTTATTGGCCGAATTTTTCCGAACTTTTCGCACTAGTGGGTCCCACATCCAATATATATTCTTAATTTTCTAAAAATTCACCAATGCTAGAAAAATCATCTAAAAACTATAATTGCTCTTAAAAACCACTAAGAAAATATTTCTAAACCAGAAAATGCAGAAAACATGCAATTAAGGGGAAATAAACCCTAGGAAAAATATTAGGGTTTTACGGGTTCTCACAAATTCTCAAAGTAGAGATCTTAATATAAAGAGAGAAAAAACTTTTGGACATGTTCACTCAAATTACGCTACTTTTATGTTTTTCTTTGGAAGATGACTAGAGTTACACATGGAAGGTGACAAGAGCATAGATTGGTGAAAGGAATTGATCAAGTTGTTTTTTTAGAATCAAGATTGGTTTATTTATACTAGAGATAGACAGTTGTTTTTCTTTTATGAACACTTGTTTATTTGAAGCATGTGGACTCATTAATCGATTGTTCAACTTGTATATTAGTCAAATTCCTCACTCAAGATATTTTTATATTAAATTTATTATAGTTTGTGTTTGTAAAATTATAAAGATCATGATGTATTGTATTCTTGAGAGAGACTTGGGAATATGGTAAATATCTCATGCTTGGCATGTACGGAGTTAAGATGTTGATAGTTATACCCCTAAATAATATTATTGCTCGGCTGACTGTTGCGAGGGTTTGCGTGGATGTCAACCTGATGAAGCAGCTGTCAAGAAGAGTTTTGGTGGGTTTTGATTCTGGGGAGGAAGATGGGTTTTGACAGGCGCTGGAACCGGAAAAGATGCCGCAATATTGCAGGTACTATTTTCGACAAGGTCATGAGGAATCGAAGTCTCGGGTTAAACACCTGGAGCGCCGAGAAGTGGCGGCAGTGGACAAGGACATAGCTGCGAATGGGCGTCGGCGGAGGATTACGACAACCCAGGAATTTCGACCAAATGGGCAGTCAGAGGTGTTGCGAGCTAACAGGGAGGTTCCCGGGAGGGTTGCGGCGCCTTTGGAGGGTGTGGGTGCAGCTACGGAGCTGAGTGGGACTGGTGAAGTCTTGACTAACAGGAACACGCAGCCTTAGCAACAGCCCAAGGGGGCAGCACTACCTGTGTCGTTGTTGCAGAGTGACATCGAGGATGGGATCCTTGCAGGCAATAAGGAGCGTTTGGCTTTGGAGTGTCATGGGTCTCAGCCACGCGTGGTTGTGGACAATCTAGAACTTGCCCAGAAGCTGGCAGAGGACAACCAAGCCAACCGTATAGAGGTGGAGACGCTGATGGAAGAGACAATCGAGCAAGCTGCTGTCGACGCGAAGGAGGCTACTGGTCAGATGGGGCAACGTTTGAGTGTTGTGGTCGAGGTGTCGACAGGGTCTGCTGTAGGGACAATTGACGTGCATGGCCAGGAGCTGCATCGAGGGCGCGGTTCTGATGTTGTAATTTGTCCTGCCCGTGGCACACCAGGTTTGGGGATCAGGTTGGCATCTACTCCCCTGACGGACATGGCTGCTGTTCCTGTGGTGGGTGGAAAAGCGTGCGATTTCATAGTGGAGCTGGGTGCAGCGGTAGGAGAGGATGAGGTGGTTACTGCAGAACAAAGTGTTGGAAATTTGTCTCCACGAGGGGAGATTGGAGCTGTGCTGCGGGAGGTAGGCTCTTTGGTGGTGGACATCTTTAACTTAGACCCTATTATACAGCGGGTTCAGGAAAAGGTGCAAGGAGAGGAGGAAGGTCAAATGATTGCTCAACCCAAGTGCAGAGGTACGCGTGTGCCACTCCCTACTGATTGATCTTTACGCTCTAGAGTAAAATTGTCCAATAGTTCTGTTGTTGCACTGTCTGATGATTAATTTCATTTTTTGAAATATTCGGGGTATCTTGTGTGCCCCAAACCTTCGTAGATTAAAGAGTTTAATTGCTGAGTCGTCACTTTAGTTAGTTGCTATATGTGAACCTAAGCTGTATGTGTGTGAAATTCATTCGATACGATTAAAGTTGAGGATGGATAAATGCATTATCAATAGTGAGGGTACTATCTGGGTTTTCTATCAAAGTTCACTTATATGTGATTACGTGGGTAAGTCGAGTCAACATTTGTCGCTTAATATACAATCGCCTATGGTATCTGGCCCTATGGTCTTTTCGTTTGTGTATGCAAAGTGTAATGAGCAGGATAGAAGGTTGCTTTGGTCCTTGCTATTGCTCGATAACCCGGTCGATGCACCGTGGTTTTTGATTGGGGACTTCAATGTCATCGTTAGTGAGGAAGAAAAGCGGGGTGGCTTACCTTTTCGACTGGGGGAAGGTTTGGACTTTATGTGTTTCATGGCTACGGCTAGTCTACAAGGCGCAGGATTTTCGGGCTCACAATTCACACGGTGTAATAATAGAGGGGGAAGTGCGCGTTATACAATCAGCAGGCGTCCGCTTTAGATTGTAATTTTAAGATGCAGCATTTGGGGCGAGATCCCTCGGATCACACTCCCTTATTGTTAACGGCAATGTCTCGGCTAGACAATAAATCTAAGTCATTTCGGTTCCTGAATGTGTGGAAGTCTAAGCCGGAGTTATTGGATGTTATTCGCCGATGTTGAGATGGATCATTCTGGGCCTCTCTTGTAGAGATTGGCTATCAAATTGAGGGAGGTAAAAAGGCAGGTGCAAGTGTGGTCTAGAGAGTCGTTTGGAGATATTTTTAAAAGGGTGAAGAAGGTCGGAGGGGGAGAGGTGCTGTGGCTGGAAGGTCTTTTTGATAGTAATCCTTCGGAGCCAAATCTCCTTGCACTTCAAGAAGCACGGGCAGTGTTGAGGAATTCTCTAATGGTGGAGGAAGGATACTGGCGGCAGAAAGCCAGGGTTAAATGGATTCGGGAGGGGAATAAAAATTCAAAATACTTCCATGCTATAGTTGCGGAATGTAGGGCGAAGGCAGTTTCGGATCAAAGGTGCAGATGGGGTTTGGATAACAGAAGATGAACAGATTGCATCGGAGGCGGTGGGGTACTTTAAAGCTTTATTCTCGACTAAGCCTTCTTTAGGATCATGGGATACACTGGATGTGATCCCTAGCATGATTTCTCACACACAGAATGAGGAACTCGTGAAGGTGCCGGAGATGGAGGAGATAAGGGAGGCGGTGTTTGGGATGGATGGGGAGAGCGCAGCGGGCCCGAATAGTTTCACTGGGAGGTTTTTCACCTTTGCATGGGAGGTGGTGGCGGAGGATGTCTGTGAGGCAGTAGTTAGCTTCTTCTGTGGGCAGGAGTTGCCTAAGAGTACCACGGCAACCTGGGTAGTACTGCTCCCCAAGATTAGCTCTCCTCAAGATTTTAGCCAATTCAGACTAATTAGCCTGTACAATTTCCTTAATAAAGTGATTTCCAAGATTTTAGTGATTCTGTTGGCTAAGGTGTTACCTAGCATCATATTACCTTAGCAAAGCGGCTTTGTGCAGGGTAGACAGATTTTTGATAATGTTTTATTAGCTCAGGAGCTCATAGCAGATATTCGAAAAGCTAGTAGAAAGGGTAATGTTATGTTGAAGATCGATATGGCCAAAGCCTACGATAGGGTTTCATAGCCATTCTTGATTCAGGTGCTGAGACGGTTTGGCTTCTGTGAGGCTTGGATTGATATGATTTGGAGGCTGATTTCGAATGCCTGGTTTTCAGTGGTGGTCAATGGGGCACTCCAAGGTTTCTTTAAGTCTACTCATGGGATTCGTCAAGGGGATCCGATTTCACCAGACCTTTTTGTTTTGTGTGCTGAGGTCCTCTCCTGTCAGCTAAACTCCTTGAGTGGGCTGCAGGGCTTTGTTCCTTTCATGGTTCCGAAGGGATGCCCGGTCGTCACGCATTTAGCTTATGCAGACAATATCATTATCTTTTCGAGTGGCATGAAGAGGTCACTTCAGTTGGTGATGCAGGTGTTGGGGGACTATACGTCAATATCGAGGCAAAAGGTGAACTATCATAAAAGTGGTTCCTATCCCATGCTAGTCTGTCGGCCTTGCATGAGCGTGTTGTAGCATAAATCACGGGGTTTCGGCCCCAGTCCTTCCCGGTGACGTATTTAGGTTGTCCTTTGTACTCGGGAAGATGGAAGAAGAGTTATTTTGCTGCAATTTGTACTTCGGTTGCGAGGAGAGTTTTGTCATGGAGGGAGAGACTTTTCTCCTCAGGAGGGAAATTGGTACTGATACGGAGCGTACTGGCGTCCATGCCGATCCATATTTTTGCTGCCTCCAACCCTCCTAAAGGATTTTTGTCATGTTGGAACGGATTTTTGCTGATTTCTTATGGGGTTCTTCTGATTTTGGTCTGCAATTTCATTGGATTAAATGGAGTCAGCTATGCAAGCCTTATGAGGAGGGCGGGGTTGGTGTTTGGTCGCTACAGCATGTGTTTGATGCCTTTTCTCTCAAATTATGGTGGAATTTTAGGCTACGTCGATCGCTATGTGCTGATTTCATGCACTTGAAGTATTGCCCGGAGGTGCATCATTGTTATTCGGATTTCTCTCCTGGGCAATCACACACTTGGAGGAGAATGTTACATGCTCAAGTGGTAGCGGAGAAGCATATACGATGGTCACTGGGGAGTGGATCTTCAAGCTTTTGGCATGACAACTGGTTGAGGATAAGGCCCCTGTGTGGGCAGGTGGAGTCTTTTCAGGAGCACTCGGTTGCAGACTTTGTCATGGAAGGGAGGTGGGATTTGTAGAGCTTGCGTAGGGTGTTACCGTTAGGTTGGGTATAGCAGGTGATGGAAGTGGCTCCCCCTACTGTGAACAAGGCAGATGAGATGATCCGGGCCCCCAATAACTTAGGTGCATTCACTATTTTGTCGGCATATCAGATAGTGCATAAAGGAGGTAATGCTTCTGTGAGGACCCATAAATTTTCTTTCTTTTATAATATTTTATTTTATTTTCTCACATGCATTTTCTTCATTTTACCCTAATATATTAATTTTCCAGAGATTTTATAAGTAAATATAGTTTTAAATCAATTTTTCTAGTATAAGTTAGTTCATGAGAAATAACGAGTGTATATTAGATGTGGGGCCCGCTAGTGCGTTAAGTGCGATAATTTTTTGCCGATTAATTGAAGTTTTGTATCAAGAAATATTATTTTACAAGGTGTTAGGAAATAATTAGAGGTTACCTAGAGGGATTAACCATTGGAAGACAACAAGATGAGGATTAACCCTTGGATGCCATTTGTCCTTGAAACATTGGACCTTGACTTTGACTTGGACTTGTCTTAACCTTTACTAAACCAAATTTTGACCCAATTTCTTTCCATTTTCATTGTCTTGGCCGAAATTTAAATTTATGGAGAGGAAAGAACAAGAGAGAGTTTCTTAAACTTCAACTTCAATTCTTGCTCAAATTTTGAGTTTCAACTGTTGAATTATCAAATTACTCCATCCAAGTTGCTTACTAAGGAGGATTAAAGCTTCTAGTGGAGGGATTTGTGAAGGAAAAATCCTAACTTATCATCTTTCTTGAGGTGTCAAGGTACTTTGCTTACAAACTTTCTCTTTACTTCAATTAATTGATAAGTAGTAGCTTATAGTTGTTATAGATGCTACTTTGTGGAAGATTTCATGGATTAAAGTGGAGTTAGCTAAATTTCTGATTTTTTTGGAGATTTTTCTGTTTTCATATGATGATTATGGTTGGCCTTGGATTGATGGTTTGAAATTGTGTTAAATGGATCCTTTGTGCGTCAATTGCGGTTATTTGCGGAAAATTTCAGCTTGTGCGGAAAAATTTCAGTGTTAGGGTTCCAATTTGCCCTGTTCTTCCCGGTTCTGTTTGACCATGTTAGAAGTCAAATTAGACTTAGTATAAAACATGAAAGTTGTAGAAAATGGTGTTAAATAACTGTCTACAAAATTTCAGCTCAATCGGAGCACTGTAGCATGTGAAATAACCGAAATACCCTTGACTGCCCATAAGCCCTGTTTCGCGGCCAGATTTCTATTTTTGTGGAAATTTCCATTTTTGACCCTGAAAGTGCATGATTTGGCTTTGTAGATCTTCATAATAAATGTAGGTATATGTCTTGGTTTCGAAACGCCATAAGATTCATTTCAATCCGATAAGTGTAGCTTCAGTTATGGTTATTGTGCCGAAAGGTGTATTTGATAGTTTATGATGTGTATGTGGTTAGTTTGAGATGAATTGGTGTTGCTTGTAGGATGGAAAAGTAAGGAAATTAAGGGGATATGCTGTCCGATCTTTGAAAGCATTTGATTGCTTTGAGTTTGAGTTGAAGGGCTTGGACTTGAGCAAAACAATGATATATGATGGATGGTTCCTGAGCCGTGGTTGGTAAGTGACCCCAAACTATTTTCAAAGCTATTTATGAAATGTTTCTTGCATTATTTACTCGATTGCATATCATGTGTGCTTGCATGTGAGTTCATAACATGTTTTGGCTCAAAGGAGTATTTGGAATTCGTGTGCTTAGAACCAACATCTCCACCACTGTTTACCTGAAGCAAATAGCTCCCTATCACTGTTTCACTGTTAACTGATCAATTTGAGCATTGGATGTTTAAGTACAATGGTTTCACTGGCTCACGAGAGCAATAAACGGACATTTGATTACTGATTCATGACATCATTGAAATGAACTATTATGAAACTGATTTGATTACTGATTTGACTGGTTACTCGTTGAGCTTCTAGCTCACCCCAAAAATATTTTATTCCCCTCCACAGGGCTCGAGGCGAAGGAAGGACTTGTAGTACTTATTCACGTGACTGGATGGCATATATCTTGTACAATTTAGATTTGGATTCATTTTGTGTAATAGTTGGACTAGTGTGATTGTATGGAATTGAAGTGGATGTATGTGTACGTTCCACACTTGGAATTAGTTTCCGCTTCACTTATGATATGTAATTCTTGGAGAATTTGATGTAATATTTGAAATTTATATTGTACTTTATTTGAGAACTGTAGTGAATGAGTGAGTCCCGGTGAGAGTTGGGCAGGCGGTCCGCCGAACCCTTTGGTTCGCCTTAGGGGGAGGCAGGGCCGTCACAGATTCCAGACTATTTACTTCTTTGTGGCATCAGGCCTTGCCATCAAAAGTTTCCTTCTTTATGTTGCGATTGATGTATGGAAGGTTGTCGGTGATGGATGTGTTGCATAGGTTTGGGGTTCCGGGCCCCTCTAGATGTTTTTGTTGCTGTATGAATCCATTTTTGGAAACTATTAGCCACATCTTTTGCACAGGGGAGGTGGCGAAGCAGGTTTGGGGTTGCTTTGAGGGTCTCATTGGCGGGTTTAATGAGGCTCTCACAGTTCGTCATAAGGTTATGAGTTGATGGGTGCGATCTACTCATACCTCTTACCTAGGTTTTGTTCTTCGTACGTTGCCATCGTTAATTTGCTGGAACTTATGGAAGATGCAAAATATGTGGATTTTCGAGGGTAAGCTAGACTCGGTCATGCATGTTTGTGATCGGATTTTCTTGGAGTTGAGGGAATGTTTCTGTCTACAATTTCTGGAGGCGCCACGGATCTGTAGCTTGTGGAGTGGCTTTTTCGATATGATAGCTCGGTTGCGAAGCAGGGTTACCATCCTGAAGGTTTACTGGAAGTGTCCGACGCAGTTGGTGGTGAAGCTGAATACCGATGGTTGCTCAAGGGGTAATCCAGGGATAAATGGCGGTAGGGGGTTGTTCAGGGATTATGCTAGGAGGTTCATGCTTGGGTTTTCGTGTTACTTTGGAAAGACTACGAGTCCTCAGGCGAAGATGAAAGCTCTCATGTTTGGTGTTCGATTAGTGGTATCTCGTGGCTTAGGAAGGTTGCATCTGGAATCTGATTCACTGGTGTTGGTCCGTATTATTCAGGGAAAAGTTAGGTGTCCTTGGCAGTTGCAGAGGTAGTTACTAGAGTTGCAGCAATATAGCAGATTTTTTGAAGCCGTGACTCACTGCTTTCGGGAGGCTAACAAGCCGGCGGACAGATTGTCTAATGTTGGGGTGGAGGCTAGGGGTACGATGATTTATGAAGACCATAAGGCATTACTAAGGTTGGTGAGGGGCGATATTACCTTAGATGTGTCTGGGTTTCCAAATTTTCGTAGGTGTCGTCGATAAGGGTTGGCTAGATTTGGTTCAGGGTGATAGTTATTATACTCCTGGGGAAGGAATGGACCCAAAGTTTGTGCTTTTCTTGGATGCATTAATAATATTTTTATTTTTATAAAAAAAAGCTAAAAAAATGTAAAGAGAACTTTGTTTTAAGATTCTATATTTAATTCATGTTCTTTGCCTATGGACTTTCTAAATTAAAATTTCATTCTAGTACTGATTAAATTCTTATTATAATAGCTTTGGGAGATGTCTGCAAGAAATTGAATTTGCCTTTGGACTTTCTAAATTAAATTTTCATTCGAGTACTAATTAAATTTGTATTCTAATAGCTTTGGGAGATGTCTGCAAGAAATTGAATTTTTTAAGGTAATGCAAAGGAGATGAGGATTTATCGAAATACAGGAGGGCATTTCGAAGAACAAGAAAATTCTTCAGAACTGAGGCGGGAAATTATAAAAAAAATTAAATTTTGTAAAAGTTTTAAACTTGCTGTAGCATTTTAATAACATAATTAAATTTCTGTGAAATGCATAATAATTTACATAAGCTGCAAGGTTACAAAATTGATAATGGTGTTTTGGAGTTAAACAAGAATAGTGGTATAATTTGAATACTTTTTAAATTTTTGGTTGCATTTAAGGAACTTGCTTAGGCTGCTTGTGTACCTCTTGTTGGAATTAAGCCTTACTTACTTCATTAATTTAGTTTTCTCATTTAAAATTTGGCAAGCACAAGTGCCAACTTATTTAACTATTTGTTTTATGCTCGAAATGTCAGACAAGTTTAAATTTACGAAGAAATGCAATTTTGGTCTTTAATATTTGGCACTTCTTTGGTTTTAGTTCCTAAAGGTCTTCTTTAAAAAAAAAAAAAAAAAAAAAAAAACTGGTCTCCATTGTTTGGCATTGATGAATTTTTAGTCCTTAATGTTTTGGCAAAAACAAATCTAGTCCCTAATATTTTCAATTTGGAGCAAATTTAGGACCATTGATGGATTTTTCTAATTGTTGACTGAATTAGTCACATGCAACTACATTATTAAATTAAATTTTTTAAAAGGAAACCAAATAGTGGCTAATTTTAAACAGTAAGAATGACGCACATAATAACACGTGAGTAACTACATAACCAAAACACAGAAAAAGGAAAATTTTTAAACTATACATAAAAATTGAGTGCTAGGGTTTTTTTGCTTGAGGTTGTGGGGTTATAAAGTAAAAATAATTTCTAGATTGATGAACTTGGTGCTCTAACTAATCTTAGTTTTGTAATTCAACAAATTTCTTTTTTTTATTAATTAATTAGTTAGCAGATGAGTTATTAGTCCTTAATCTTCTAGTCTAAAGTTAGCCCCTATTTTGCTATGTTATTTTTAAATTCAATTTAACGAACACATAACTATAGGTGACTAAATTTTGTCAATAATTGAAAAAATTTCTTCAAATGTCGTAAATCTGCTTTATGTTGGATACAGAGGAACTAGATTTCTTCTTGCTAATGTTTCAGGGACTAAAATTGCACGGATGATAAATATTGGGAACTAGATTTATTTTTGTTGAAACTGTAAGAGACAAAACTATACAGGTGGTGAACATTTGGT